ATAAGTGCATTACCAGACAATACAAAATCGATAACAATAAACTAAACAAAGGAAAACCAACCCTGAGATTTGCTTGGAAGAAATGCTGCTGCATCTCCTTCACTCAAAATATACCTAGCTCTGACTAGTTCCTCTTCCAACTAGCAAATCATAAGGAAAAATAATAATTACAATCACGGCAAGATAAAAGCCCAGCAGCACGATAATATCCTTTCACATGCGTGTGTAAATAATCACATATAGCGCACTTTATCGTTGCTAACGGAGCTGCGGAGGGACTTGATTCGGGAATCAAGTGAAGCCACGCGCTGCCGCAGCGCGTCCTCCTCGCTGGAGGTGCGGGATATGAGAGACGCCGCCGCCTCCTGCAACTCCTTCGCTTGCTCGACAAGCTTGGAAACTTCGCCGCGGATGATCGACGAATCAGGCGGCGAGTCCCCCATCAGTTGATGATGCCCGTCCGATCAATCACTGCGAGATTTCCGATTCAGTTTAAATGGGTTGGAGGAGATTGTTTTGTAAATTTTGTTCTGTTTTCAATTTTGCTTAATATTTTTCGTTCTGTTGGAATAAATATGCCTTGAATAAAATTTTAGGGGTTTTTTCATGGGTAAATGTGAAAACGAGTGAGTGGATTGTGGATTTATTATGAACGCTATTCAGGTGGGGGAGATGATGCCATATACTTTGTGGGTCCATTTTTAGCTAATGGAAATTGATAAGGCTGCTGATTAGACATATATNATTATTTTAGTTTTTTTTTTTTCGAAACGATAGAGGTAATATAAAAGATCACAAAAGTGCAAAAGGAACAAATTACAAGACCCCAACAGGTAATGAAAGACCTCAACAAGGTAAAATCTAAGGCCCCAATAGGGTAATGAGACAGGGGCCAACAGCCCAAACCAAAACACGCCTAATAAGCAACAGAATAGCAAACTGAGATGACTCGCACATGGCGGCCTAGAGAACTCCACAAAATGAAAAAAAGAAAAATGAAAAACAGAGCCACTGCACAATGCCTAGCCTGCATTCATCTCCCAAACAAAAACGAACAAACACACCTAACACAGACTCGAACAAACTACAACAAAAACAGTAAAACAAAGGAGGCCCTTCCCCAACAGACTGACGAGTCGATACAGCGGAGAACAATCGATTCCAATAGAATCCGAAGCCCGAGCCCAACTATTGAAACTGCTGCCGAACGCCTATACAGAAGCCAAACCCGGACCCCAATCCAAACCCGAATCGACTCACTTCCAACCGATAGGAACAAAGCAACCCCCAAGCCAAACCAGTCCAAACCCGTCTAACACCACTAGCCGAGCCTGGACGACTCAAACCCGGACCCAACACCAGAGAACCGGGAAGGGGCTGCCAGTCCTATATAGGGTGTGTTTGTTAAAGAAATAATTTGAGTGAGTAAATTAGAGTTAATTTAGAAAAAGTGGTGTAGTTAGTTGTTAGTGGGATTTTGATTTTATATTAAAATAATATTGAAAATAAAATAATTAAAATTAATTTGATGTAAAAGTAAGAGAGAGATGATATGATGTGATGGTTAGTAAAAATTATGTCAGTAGATGAATAGTAAACTAAAATTGATATGATATGTAAAAATGATTGGTTGTTATTATTTAATTATATTGATAATATTGAGGATAGTGTGATTGAGTTAAAGTTGAGTTAAATTTTAAGTATAATTAATTTGGTTTGAGTATATTCTTTAACAAACACACACTTAAGGGTTGAATAATTATGTTTTTTTCAATAAATATGTTCATAAAGAAAAGTATGCACTTTATAGGAAAAATATGCATTTTGTATAAAAATTTATATTATGTGGTGATCCACGTTTCTTTTTTCGAACGATAAAAGGTGACCCACGTTAAAACGCTTAATTGTGAACGAGAATATCAAATGATGATTGTGTGAGTGAGTTAAAATGCCTAATTGTGAACGAAAATATCAAATGATGATTGTGTGAGTGAGTGTAAATTTTTATGATTTCGTGAGATTGCGCTCTTATGATTGTTTATGTATGTGTTTTTTCCAAAACACAAGTTGTTGATATAGCAAGACTAAGTTGCTCGCGTGAGATATTGTAAATTGAGCCTAGCAGGGGGGTTGTTGTAGTTCGACAGCTAAAACACGAAGATGAGGGGCTCATAGTTAACTGATTATGTTGCTCGACGAAGGGCTTATTAAATTAGTACTCTGAGAAGCTTGGTCTGAAAAGGCCACGCGGACGTAGATCGTGTGCTCCCTGAAAGATAATACGGCAATTTCCTTAGGGAGCTCGGCTTGGAGGACATGTGGGAGCCTTCAGTTCGGTGTTGGTAGTACATCGTCTCTAGTACGACAGATATCAATTGGAGGCAACGTGGCGACCTCAAAGAACTAGAGCTTGCATGTTCAACTGCAAGGAAGCAGGGATGATGTAATAGAGACGTCCAGGGAAAGGGAACTTAATCCCTCAAATAAAGGAGGTATAAGTTATCAAGGACTCTAGAGATTTGATGAGGTATGGCTTGTTGAGAAAAGGATGCGAGGAAGTCTTCTTACCATACTAGAAGTCTTTTAGTCTACAAACAACCCTAACTATAAAAGGGAATCAGGTTATTATTTTTACATGACACACATACACGGGCAAAAATACCTTATTGCTACATTGTTATTGAACGTGAACTAACTTGGGCGTCAGAGTGTTTTTCGCCAGGATCCCTCCCGGCATTTTGCAGGTCACTGGGGAGACGTCAAAGCGGTTCAAATCAGCGGATTGCGGTTCAAGCTGGATCAGAGAACAATTTTTCGCAACAAATTGGCGTCGTCTGTGGAAAATTGGTTAAGCTTTTTACAGGCTATCAGAGACGAATTCTTTCTCATAAAAAAAAAAAAGGTTTTTCATGGCAAGAGATAATCCTATGAAGAATTTGACTAAAGAAATGGATTATGCATGGACAAAGAGGGCATTTGGATCGGGTCGATGCCGGGATGGCCACAGTCAGCTGCTCTTACTCCCACGGAGATGTTGCCCGCACCCGGCACGACATTGACACCATTATAAAGAGCTCTTGGGAAACCATCACGAGGACAGGTCGAGGTAAACCTGGACGAATCGAGGGGCCAAAAAGATAAAAGGCGCGAAGAAGATCGGCCAATTGTCATTGAGGAGTGACAAGATCCTCTGAGAGATAATCAACCTAATAGAGGGGGGGATAGGTAGGCGGATACGGGATTTGACCGACCTCAACAACATGCTAGTCTCTAAGGGGATCAGCAGATCGTCTCCGTGGAAGGACAAAACCCGCCAAGAGATAGTCAGCCTTCTCCGACTCCTAGGGACGACAAAATCATGCATCTGACCAGGCAGAGTTGGACAGAATTATTGCAGAGGCAGTGGACCGAGCTCAGGAGATAAATAGGCATATTTTTTGCCTGAGCCGCAACGATAGCAATTGCCCCAACAACAGTCTATACTTCAACAACAGCCCCCGCGCCAGGGGAGGGCATTTGAAGATGAAACAAGGACAATTACTTCTAGGACTACTATGCTGTAACAACCTGGAGACCTAACTTTGGAGAGATTGGCGACTCAAATACGCGAGCTACAAGCTCAGGTCTAGGGGAAAAGGGTTATGCCGTCCCGAGGACATCCGTTTTCAGAAGAAGTCTTGGAAAGGGATCTGCCAAGCAACTTCCAGGAATTGAGCCTATCTTATGATGGCTCGACGGACCCCGCAAGACATCTGAGGTCGTTCGATAATATAGTTGTGTTACACAGATACAATGATGTTGTTAGTGTTATATACTAAAAGCTTGGATTTGGATGATATTACATTTTTACCCTTTATGAATGAGAATCATGTTTGATTAAACAAGTTCTATATTCTGTTGTTTTGCACTTAGATAGAATGAGTCATCATCGGGTGAACAAAAGATCGTTATATCAGTTACTTGCAAAATAAGAATTATGGTTCACAACCTAGATGGAAATGAACATCTCATCCGAACGGTTGTAGTGTCAACGGTACAGTTGGTCTTGACTGATTAGTTGCACTAGTCCATTTATGTATTGAACAGGATCCCAGAGATGAGAAGTTCGTTTTATACTAATCGTAAATGAATTAGGCCTCGGTTAATTACTGCGTTCTCTTAACCCGTAAGATATTAAACAGACATATATATGCAATATATATTACTTTAATTCACTTGGGTGAGGTTCAGTTCGCTGGATCAATATTATTACTGTCCTGGGTAATATTGTTGTATGTATGATGTGTTGTTTGGATATTTATGGTCACCATGTGTGTTAGTTTGATGATGTCCCCGAAGTGAGTTCATGAAAAATTGTTATGCTAAACCCTGCAGGTGGATTAAATTCTGGCATAATAATAATGTAATGAACGAGCGCTAGCTTTGGTAGTAAAATATATTAATTAATTCTTAATTGTCAGTAATCGAATTAATTAATGGATATTATATCTTAAACATGGGAAGGTAATTCGGGTAATTATAATTGGAGTCTCAAATGTAATTTAGGCTAGGAAAAGGGAGTGCAGTAAGATTACGTTAGTGGACCGTAATATTATTTAAGTAATTGGAGGAGTGGACATGACACACAGTTAGTCCATTACTTAAGAAGCTCTATTCCTATTCTCCTAAGGATCTCTACTGTAGCTCTATATATACATCATTAAGCTTATAAGAGGAAGAGAGATCCATTAATCACAATACACGTGAGAAACGGCGCCCCTCATTCTCTCTCTCTAGATCTCATTCTAGTTTTATCTTCTTCTCGTTGCTCCACCGGTACAAGTTGAAGAGGTGTGTGAGTAATACAGTAGAAGATCCCGTGGTAATCGAGACCCCGTGATCCAATATATTCATCAACCCCAGAGAAGACGATAGCTGACCGCCGTGAGCACCGGACCGCAACTGCCGCCGACCCACGGCAACCGACGACACACCGCGCCGATCGCCGCCGCAATCAACCGGAGCCGACGCGACCAGCCCCGCGACACGACCGGCTCCTTCGCGACACCACACGACCATTGATCTCATTCTGTTTGTGATCCCGACATCCTCGTGACGTGTTGTTCCCGGTCATCCTGAATCCGACAGATTCAGAAAATTTTAAGCCGTAAGTTTTCTACGTTAAACCTTTAGATCCGCTGCGCATAGGTTTACGTTTGCTATTAAATTCGTGACTTGTACGTAACGAGATCCTCACAGATCCCAACAAGTGGTATCAGAGCACTTGGTCAATTCATTTTGTACAAAGTTCGAATTTTTACGGCTTTATTTGATAAGATGTGTTCAAACGCAGCCATATATATTGGATTATATTCGCGTAACTCGGTTTTACAGTAATTAGTTAATTCATTATTATGGTCGAATATGTGTTTGATGAATGTTGTTGAATGTGATGTATGGTTTTAAAATTATTTTTAAAGCCTCGAACATGTCGATGAATTAATGGATGAATGTTTGTAACAATTATGAGCCCGGGGGTTGACCAGATAGGATTAATTATTTGTTTAGAAAACATGTACTTCCATTTGTTTGATCTCGGATCAAATTATGTAATTGTATATTATATTTTTCGTGTTGTGATCGTGTGTTGATGACTGGGAGATTACAAAGATTGACGAACCTCGAAAAACCAACCGGATCTGGGCCTGATGAACCGCCGACGGCCAGGCGGCGGCGCGCGGTGGTGAATGGCGGCCAGCGGCGACCCGGTCGGCGACTCGTGTTGCGAACGCGATGAGAAAAAAAATATATTCCGGCAAAGTTTCCACCGGCGGCCGACGACGGCGACGGTCTCGCGATTGGCTGATAGGGCAGGTGGTTTTCTTGTTAGACAAGCAGTACAATATCTATCAAGATTCTACTGCAGTGGGAGTTCTAGTTGGACAAGGAAAGAAACTGATAAGGTTTCCTTGTTTAAGTCTATTAATAGCCATAATAGTGGATTTATTTATTTAAATTTATTATGCCAATTATTTATTTATTTATTTATGAATGTTAATTAATTATTGCTTTTACATGAGACTAATTTAGAATTGAATGGCGAGGAGACCATATCGGAGGTGGATCCTTCCAGAGAGTGGTCGTCTTCGCCCGTCAAGACTGAGCTCGTCGCTGCCCACGACGACCAAGATATGCAGCAACAGAGTGCAATTTTTGAGGAAGATGACGGGCCATTGTGCGACGGTCCGCCTATTTTTGATGAGGAGCCTCTGGTGACGGAGACATATCTTTGTAGCAATATGGGTCCCGCGCGGGACGTCGCAAAAGTTGAGCCTTTGATGGGGATGTTATCGTTCAAACTCGATTTTTGAAGTATCTTGGCCAACGATGGTTTTTCGGACCCGAAGCCAAGGCACAATAATTGCTGGGCCATTTTCCGATTGTCTATCCCGAAGTCTCTCGACAACGGGATGCTTGGCCGTAGTTATGGATTTGAGTGCAATGAACGGTGTGGTATGTTTGGTGTTAATTCCGATGTGTGGGTTATGCATATGGAGGTGTGTACATGTGCCTTTGCAGCAATTCAATCCTTGCCCATGATTATGTTTATCATCGGGATTGTTGGACGATATTCATCCTTCGTGTTCGACCGGGAGAAACGACGGGGGTTTCCTACCATGAGTTCGACACCACACGCCGGCCACGGGAACGCATCGGCTTCGAGGGCGAAGCCTTCCCAACCGGGGAGAATAGTGTAGATTAGTATATAGGATTATTATTATTATTATTATTATTATTATTATTATTATTATTATTTAATAGGTGTCTTAGAGAATAAGTTAGGAATTTAATATTATTGTTTATCTTGTCTTGTTGGACAAGTTAAGGTCTAGGGTTAAGAGCCTTATTTAAAGGGCTCTTCTTCTTTGTTATGAGATAGTTGATTATGAATAAGAATATGAATTGATATATTGTTTTGGTGTTCTTGAGATTGAGATCTCATTAATATCGTCTCACTCGTACGTTGTCCTACATCACTTAGTATTGCAGCAAGGAATTATTTTCAAGCTAACGGATTCAATGCCATTGTTACTGCCGCCGGTTAGAAGCTCATTTCTGGTTTTGTTTGATTGTTCTAGGTTACTATTGGTTAGTGCTCCTGCTAGTCTAGTTCTTGTTAGGGTGCTTAGCTATTTAGCCTTTGGCGGTACATCTTTGTTACTGAAATAATATTTATCGTTTCGAAAAACAAAGAACACTTTCATTATAATTTATTTTTAAATGTTCCTTCAAGGAATGATGTTCTCCTAAATCTCTATCATTATTTTAGTAGAATGAATTTCTTGGAGAATCAATTTATTTTTAAGGGGTATATTCATTTGAGATTTCTAAAGACTTTTTAAGACTTTAGAAATTCTGGTGTATTCAATTTAATGTTAAGAATTTTTAAGATTTTTAAAAGTCTTGGGGTATTCATTTGAGATTTTAAAAAGTCTTACAAAATCTTGAGGTATCCAACTTAATTTGAGACATTGATTTCTTAAGACTTTTTAAGATTTAATGGGATTTCTAAACAAAAAACCTTATACGAAATCCTACTTCAAATCCCACCTCCAGACTTAGGGGGTGTATTCAATTGGGATTTCAAGTGACATTTTAAGACTTTTTAAGGTTTGAAACGTTTTAAGATTTCAGTTTTTGGAGGAATTCTATGAAATATTGTAGAAGTGGGATTTGAAGTGGGATTTCGTATAAGGTTTTTTCTTTAGAAATCTCACCAAATCTTAAAAAATCTTAAGAAATCATAGTCTCAAATAAGTTAAATACCTCAAGGTTATATAAAACTTTTTAAAAGTTTCAAATGAATACCTCAAGACTTTTAAAAATTTTACAAAGTCTTAACAAATCTAAATTGAATAGACCTTAATTTCTAAAGTGTCTTAAAAAGTCTTTAGAAATCCCAGTTAGATACACCCCTTTAATATTCCGAAATCTTAAAGTTTCAAATTTAAAAAGTGTCAAGTCCCATGAAATCTCAATTAAATATACCATCTAAGTAATTATTAAATATGATATAGTAATTAAAATGATTTTTTGTCTGTAAAAGTTTATTTAGAAAAGTGTACCAAACACATGGGGCATAATCAAATGTGGTATAACTAGCGGGGCAAATTAGTGCAAATTTCATTACTCAAAGGGTAGAGGAGCAAATCAACCGCAACGGGCAGAGGACCAAATCATAAATTCGTCAAATTTTGTGGGGCTCGTCTCTATAACCTTCTATCCACGCCACGAAAATGGGGCACTACAGTAAACGAAAGAAAAAAAGAAAGAAAGGAACCCCAATATCCTTGCAAGAGGTTCATAATTTTCCTTTTTCATGGCGTCGAGTTTGCCATGGCACCCTCTACTCTCCTCCAAGCCCCAAAAGCGTATTTTTTATCGGCCAAATCACATTCCAATTCGCCAAGTAGTGAGGGTCCAAGCCTTCAGGCGCAGCGACATCGATGGATTCGCCAAGCGCGTGGCCTCCGGCGAACTGTGGCGTGACGCGTGGCGGAGAGCTAACGACGGGTTCGAACAGTTCGTTTACGACACCAGGAAGACGGCGGAGCGAATTGACCGGAGGTACGCCGTCTCGAGGCGTCTATCGTCTGTAGCGCAGTCCGCCGCCTACCGAGCTCGTGAGCTCGACCGCGAGTTTGAAATTACTCAAAAATGGCGGACTTTTTCGATGGATTTTAGCAGAGAGTTGCCGACGGTATGGAAGCTTTCATATCTTTTTAATTGCTGCGGGATAAAGTTGAAGATTTTGATGTTAATTGGGAATAAAATTTGATTTTAAATGTTGGTCCTGGGCCATTCTTGTTTGCAGTACAGGAGGCAGATCACTGATTTTCTGGATACTCCTTTGGGGAGAAGTTTTGCGGTAATTTACTCTAATTTCCGGTGTCTTTAGCTTCCGAATGTGAATTGGTTTGGCTGAATGCCTAAATGGTACTTTCATCCGTAGGTACCACTAACTGCTTTCATTTGGTTGTCCTATGTTATTTTTTTCTTCTCAAATATATGGAACTATTGTAATTGTTTGTGTTTTGTATCTCGACTGCAATATGATAGGGTATATTTTGATCAAGAAAGATACTATAGGGTGGTAATGTGGAAAACTAGTTCTTTTCTAACTTTCATGTCTATTGTGCTGTTTTCACTCAAATCGAATTTTATGATCACTTACACAATGTTATTATTACACTCCTGTTCAGAACCATGATATGATAGATCCCAATTCTTTCTTGATGTCTGTGAAAAATGTGCTGATTTACTAAAATGATGACGAGTCTTTTTCTAGATGTGAGGGAACTTGCTTTGCAGTTTGCAGAATTTGTGGTGTTGTATCTTTGTGTTCTAATTTTGATATGTGAATATGTATCCCTCTGCAGACACTTCTGTTTGTATGGTTTGCTCTCTCAGGATGGTTATTTCGAATTCTGGTTTTCGCAACATGGGTATTGCCGTTTGCTGGACCTCTCTTGATTGGGGCTGTTGCTAATAATCTCGTCATTAAGGTGGTATTTTCTGTTCATTAGTTTTCGAAGTAACTATCTGAAGGATATATTGTTCTCTTTATTCTTACCTTATCCTTACCTTTTTTCCTAAAACGGTTATGACTCCCATTTTGTGCTCTTAGGCTGTTTATGTAACATTTTAGCCTTTTACGGAATCATTCGCAACGTAAATATATTGGTCTTGTTTTGAAATTAGCAGATAGTTGATTGCATTAGCGATAGCTGATAGCTTCATTGATTAGCCAAGCAATTTATATATTGTTGTTTGGCAAACAACTAATAGTGTAATAACCAGATAAATGTAAAAAATGACTAATAAGTATATTGTTGTAAGTTACCAAACTATATTCTACCTTTGCTAGCAATATTAATATATGTGGTGATTATTAGAAAAAAAATACATATAATACCATTTACATAGACAAAAAATGGTTATTATTTTAAATGGATGGATTATAAAATAGCTCTTGCTATAAATTATTTAGTCATTGTTCAAATTTGTAAGTTACTCTACAAATAATTTCTAAAATTTATTTATGTTTCATGTTCTATTTCACTCCCCGATGGAGCATATGGAAATATAATTATAAATAAAATAAAACAAAAAAATCTTCTAAAATATAAAAAATATGAAACACATAAAAGAAATTATTTACAATTAGGTGCAACAAATTAAAATAAAAATGGGTAATCAATTCAATTAAGGTGCAACAAACTAACAAATTGAAAAAAAAAAAATGAAAAAGAACAAACGAAAGAGATATTAGAAAGTATATTTCAAATTTAACATTCATTTTTTTCTTTTTATATATACGATGTTTTGTTTTCAATTCTCTTATGTCAACATTAATTTTTCTCAAAAGTTGGTATACGTAGCATTTTCTAATTAATTTTTGGACCTAATAGACTAATTGAATTATGGGTAAAGTTTACCAGACATTCAAATTGGATGTTTGACTTGTCAAACCTCTAATTTTGGCTTAAAATTTTTGTTTACCAAAGAAACAACTTATTTTGAAGGCATTTTAGAAGTGTCGGAGGCAGTGAACTAAGCATTAAGTATCAAATGTTTATGAATTCACCTAGACTTGGAAGGTTTTGTAATTTGTTTCTTGAGCCAAGCTTCTTATGTTTTATCACTTTCGTCACTTCATCAGTTGATCAGATTTCCGTGCAAATTTGTTTTTTCTAAACCTATTTGCGTCATTTTCCTACTTCAACATATGCATTGTATATATTAGAGCATTATTTTTGCATCAGTTCATTATTATTATTACTATTATTATTGTTATTGATATACTAAGCTTATTACACTCTATATTACTGCCTGGATTGTTGTCACCTTTTTCATTAAGTTGTATTCATATGAACAGGGAGAATGCCCAGCTTGTAGGAGGCCATTTGTCGGATATAAGAATCAAACTGTAAGATGTGTCAGTTGTGGAAGTATTGTTTGGCAACCACAAGGAGATTTTTTCTCTAGAGGTAGTAGAGGTGGCTCGACTTCCTCTTCCAAGTCTCAACCAGATATCATTGATGTCGAGTTTGAAGAGAAATGAGTGACGGTTGTGTTTTAGTTTCCATATGTGGTAATGAATGTAATAATATTATTCCAATATTTCCTTATTCTTTACGAAAAATTATAGCTTCAGAGTGGAATTTCCCCCTTTTTTTTTCTCTTTTCAATGTAGTCTACTACTGTATTTGTATGTTGAGGAATGAAATGAGCATTGTGCTTACTGCTGTAATCTGTGGGAATGTGCTAAATGTACCTGTTAAATGGAATTTTTTGGCCCCCTAAATATGAATGTTAAATGGAATTTTTTCCCTTTTAATTCCCCTAAAATTACGGTTTTATTTTTTAATTACCACCATCTAGAAATTTGTTGAAGGTTGCACCTTATAGGTTTATGTTCTTATTCAATTTACCGTGGCATCTTAATTTGGAGCTTGAATTATGATGTCTTACCCAACAAGGCAAGCTCAAATGCTGGACTTCCAACGTGGTATGTCCTCTGGATCCTGAGGGTCAATTGTTTTTAAGTTAGTTAATAAAAATAAGACATCATCAATTTGTTCGATAAAATTGAGTAAGATAGGTTAAACTTGAATATTAAAGGTAATTGTTTTCCTGGGGTTTACAAGAACAGTCGCACTCTGTATATACGATTCACACTGATCGGATGAATTGTTTCTTATTACCAACTTTTCTTTCTTGTTTTGGTTTGTCCCAAGTGCTCGTGATGGGGTTAATTTAGTAGTGAGTATGAGTTCATCAAATGCCGTGATGAGCAGAATTTTTTTTCTTTATTTGAGGTTCATGTTTGAAAACAGAGTTTTGGAGTACATTCGTCCTTTTAGTGTGGAAGCTTTAATGTCACTAGTTTTGTCCCGTGTATTTGCACGAAAAGCATAGAAGATAAAGTAATTAAATATATAGAATAAAATAAAAATTATAACTTAATAAACAAGAAAAAAAACAATTTTAAAGAGTGAATCTAAATATTATTAAACATTTTTTTATATACAACATTCGTGGTTTTCCTATCGTCTAAATTTTCATCACAACAAATTATTATCGTTAAACCTCTTTCATTTGCCCTTAACTACTAAAACCTGATTTTGTTGACGACAAGAGAGAGAAAGGGCTAGGATCAAAGGAACGTTCCTAAAGGATTCATCTAGGGGTTTAGAGGAAGAGGTCTAAGAAGAGGCGTTGTCGGAATTCGACATAGCCGTCGGGATTTATAAAGGATAGATATATGAGGGGATAGACGATCGCTGGAAACCCATAAAAAATAAGTCAAAAACATATGAGAAGAAAAAAAAATGAGAGAATTCATAAGAACAAACCTTGAAGGTGAGACGTAAAGTGGCTGGAGGTGGGCTGAGAAATTGTTTGGATAAGTATTGTGTTCGCTGGAAAATTTTTGAAAAATCTTGAAGGTTTTCGAAAATGGTTGAAAGGGGCTTTATATAAAAAGTGACGGTTTTATATGGTAAGATGGAGAATTGATGAAGACGAGACCGCCCTTGCATTTCTGAATAAATACGACCGACTTCGGGTTTAGTCTATTTATCTCTTATTATTATTAGTGCTTTTTTAGTTTATTTCCTTTAGTAATTTTAATAATTATGATAGGATAATAATGAGCTTGCAAGTTGTTGACGGGCGTTTCCGGTCAACGGTTAAAAAGTTAAATAATGGAAAGGAAATAAGGAAAAGACAAAGAAATACGGTTTAATTGCGGTTTTATTAGATGATCACGAGGTCGACCTCTCGTACGAGGTCGGCACTTGCGATATACTTCAGGTTTCTTACAAGAGTTTCTTACAAATCTTTAGAGAGAGGAAATATGAGTACAAGTAGTTGGGATTCAACAACCCAAAATAAATGAAATGGGTTGCTATTTATAGTTGCCTTAAATGTGACACTGTTCAGTCACTGTTCATCAGTCTTGTCGTACAGTGTTTCTTGCAGAGTAGTTCGGCGCCTCCCTGACAGAATTTAATGCGATTTGAGGTTTTCCTCATCATTGTCTGACAGGCATTTAATGCTGGCAGGCTTTATGTCTTGGCTAGGGGAGGTAGGTCAACAGGCTAGGATGTCCCATCCATCAGCCAACGATTACCCTCCAAGTGGCCTTATCATACTGCCATCGTGGTCGGCACCTTCATTGCAGGAACCCGTCCTGAGACTCCAGACCGACACCTTTTCTTTGCTTGTTCCTCCCTCCCCGGAGAACCTATCTTTCAGCCCGTCGCTCCTCAGATCGGCACCGGGACTTTATAGCCGCAAACGCCGGACTGACGAACGGACTCCTGGGAACGTCTGGGTCATAAAATATTCCGGTCCAGCTCGGCACCTTCTGAGCGGGCCGGATCTCCGGTTCGGATCTCGAACTCGGGTGTCAACATACAGGCCCCCGAGCTCAGAGGGGGTGTCCTCAGCATCCTCTGTGAGGTCGCTACCCAAAAGCACATCCGAGGTCGGCACTCATAACACACTTGGCAAAATTATCTACCATTTGTTATGCACACCTTTCCCAGACCCGAAACGACGGGTCATTTAATGTGTCGTGACCGTTACGCTTCCTGTCGATTATGAAAAGTCGCGTTGGTTCAGAACCTTTACACGTGTCATCCCTTCATTCGCCCTTGTCAAACGGCGTGTCGTTTCGACGAAACGACGGTTTCTGGGGCGCGTGGCATCTACGCGACTATCCATGGACCGTTGGATTGCGTTCGTCCCAGCCGTTAGATCGAGCATTTAATTTCGAATTTCAAACGTTGCGCCACGTGTAATGCTGTGATTGGCCCTCGGTTCGTATATATATTTCCGTCGTCTTCCTTGGGAAGCTTTTACGAGTTCCGAAACTTCTGAGCAACCGAATCTCCGAGCGACTACTTTTCGAGCAAGATTTCAGAGCGAATTTCAGGATTTTTCGAGCTTCTTGGAGATCTCCAAACCGGTAATTCTATTTTCCTCGAAACCTTCCTTTTTATTTTCGATTATGTCAAGTCCTTCTGGCTATGCTGCGAACCTTCCCGCCGGAGATGGCGGATCCACGGCGGAGGAGACGGGGGAGTTGGTGGTTTACTCCCCTCCGGCGGTGGAGAAGATGCGACCGCTTAGGGTTACTCCGATCTCGGCCGTCCGCGTTACGTCAGCGGCGGTGGAGGCGGGCCCGCGCCGAGAGGGTTCTTCGGATTTTCCCACTGTCGAGATTATCGACCTCAGCTCCGATCAGTCCGACGGCGGCGAGGTTGAGAAGGAGGACTGCGCTGCTCCCTCCGAGGATTCTGACGTCGACGCCGAGCTGGTCGACGAGACGCTCCGAGGTGATACCCATGGGAGGGAGCGGGTCCCCATGGGCCGTGAGGATTCCGAGACCGACGCTGCCGTCGAAGATGCCACCACGGCTCCCCCCGGATGCTGGCGCCGCCCCGCGCGCGTGTGGCCGTCTGCAGCCTCGGCGACTGCCTGCACGACCGCGTCGATACTGAGGGACGTCGATCTCGCCCAGCTGCGGGGAAAGGCGTGCTTCGGTGCCGGGGTTCGAGTCTTCGCTCCCTACGCTGGCGAGCGTATCCACTGTCCTCCGCCGGGCTGCATCGGCGTGTACCGCTCCAGCATCCTGCTCGGTCTCCGATTTCCCTTGCCAGGAGCTCTGAGCGACATCCTCAGCGGGATCGGCATCGGCATTAGTCAGCTTGTCCCAACAGTCTTTGCCCGGTTGGTCGGCCTCATAGTCCTCTTCCGCCAGCAGGGCTGGGCTGACCCAACTTGCGACGAGGTGAAAGCCCTCTTCGATTTCAAGAAGTCCGGGGAGTCCGGCAATTATTATAGCTCGGTATCCCCCGGCGTGGAGAAGTCTTTAATCCACAAGGTCCCAGAGTCGCTGCACGGCTATATGCCGGAATGGTTTTGGGTCGGCGGCGAATGGAGGACGCCCAACACGGCTCGGCACCCGTCGACCGATTTCATCTCCGGCCCTTGTGAGTTATTTACTTTCGTTCATTTCCGCCCTTCTAATTAATTGTCCTTCCCTGCTAACAGGTCGGTGTTTGCATTTCAGTCCACAACCCTCACGTTGAGCCGAGTGACGAGCTAGTCGCGAAGGTCGAAACCTTACTTGGGCTTGCTGCGGAAAAGCGCAATTACCGAAGTCTTGTTGCGGAGGAGAGTTTGATTCAGCACAACCTCTGCCCCGAGTACAACAGCAAATACTTCGAGCCCGGTACTTCTACCTCCTCAATTCTCGCTCGTATGTGTAGATGCTTTTATATCTGTTCTCAACCTTGCCTCTTGCTTTCGTTTGACAGTGTACTACCCCCTCCATCGCGAGTGCGGGTTCGGATCGGTGAAGGAAGCCAACAAATACGCGCGCGCACACCCTAGTTCTCTGAAAGACCGAAAGATGGCCAGCCGCATGGACTTCCTAACAAGGCAGTCGAAGAGGAAGGCCCTGGCGTCAAGCTCAACGGGGACCTCAGACCCCGCCCCGCCGAAGCCGGCCTCCAAGACTCCCCTTCCCCGAGAGGCCGAGGCGCCTGCCAGCTCGGCCCCTGTTGCCCCCGCTCCCGCTCCTGCGGGTGGACGGGGGAGCCGGGCAAGTGCCCGTGAGATCGGCGCCGATCGCGGCCGAGGTACCGCCGGTCAGGGCGGGGCTGCTCGTCAGAGGAAGCGTCGGCTTCTAGTGGAGGAGCCGGAGGAGCCCGCGGAGGATGAGGTTGGGGTGCGGGACAATGCCCCGCCGTCCCCGAAGAAGAAGAAGGTGACTGAGGTCCCGGGGGCCGCCATCGCGGGCGAGAGGTCGGCTTTCGTCCATCAGGCCGGCTCCTCGACGTACATACCCGTGAACCCGAGCCGCAAGGCCAGCCTCTCCAAGAGCTTGGAGCGGTTTCCTGACCAGTGGTTCATCGATTCGGCGTCGGCGGTTCCACTTGAGTTGCCCAATCCCTACAGTCTGCCGGGGGAGGTGATGTCCACGGCGCAGGCCGTGATGGCCTCTTGGACCCCGACCGCCGAGACGGCGATGACCATGCTCTCGCCGACACAATTTATCCAGCACTCGGTGGCGTCCATGGGCCGGACCATGGTCGAGCTGATCCACGCCGCCGTGGCTATGCAGCGGGAGGTCGACGCCCGCGACAGGGCCGAGGAGGATCTGGCCACCTCCAAGGGGCGGATCAACGAGCTGAAGGACGAGGTCAGGAAGATCTCGTCCCTGGAGAACGAGCTGATCCTCCAGCGCGGAGCTGTTGCCGTGGCGGAGAAGGCGGCTGCCAAGGCCGCCGAGGACCTGACCCGCGAGAGGGTCGCGTGGGCCTAA